CTCTTCTATATCCAAATTTTGAAATTAGATATTTGATATATTTTTGCATAAAATGAATCTGGTAGAAAAAAGCATTGCTCTGTCTCGCAAAGCGAGATATTAAAGTTGACCTTTTAGGAAATTCTTTGAAGTAATTCACTCTTACCGGCGTAACTATCACTTTTCTTGAAGTGAAATTTCACTCCCCCAAATTTAGAGTGTACAAGACGTCTTGCGCATTTTTCATTAATATTATATGAATTATTTGAATATATTCGTGAACTAGTAGTACCTACAATTGAGAAGGAAGTGATTCTACATGAAAAAATAAGTCGAAAAATAATTGAATAAAATTTTCTTATATAAGGCTTTATTTTTAAGAAAATCAACTTTAAATATTCGCCTGGTATAGATTTAATTAAAGAACAGTTAGAACATGTTAGAAAGTATTCATAGAAATTTACTTTAAAGACCAAAATTGTGTATTCGACAGAATGAAGCATTTTCAATAATTTATAAAGTAATAAAATTTATCGTATGCGAATATCCTATTTCCGATTATCAATACGATAATAAATACAAATATGAATGGAGATAATAGTTTACGAGATTCATCAAATCAAGACAGTTAAATGCACTCGGTGAACATTTAAAATCAATTTTCTTGAAAACAAAGCCTAATGTGACAAAATTTTATTCTACATTTTCAATTTATTTTTTAATGTAAAATTACTCTTTTCTCAATTACTAGTTTACGAGTACTCTATTTACTTAAACAGTCTGTATACACTTACATGCACAAATAACACTCGCTAAATCATATAATCACTGTTATTATTTGTATTGAAAAATTGTGTTTAAAAAATAATCAATTTAAATAATTCATATTTCCCATCTATTTTCTAAAGTATTAACTTTTTTGTTACCTTCTGCCGAAATCTGTTTATCTTTTATGAAAAAGCTAAGCTTCGAGTTCTCGTAACATGAGAACTTGTACTTACTGCAGAGAGACAGGTAACGGTCGCTGAGGAAGGTTCCAAGCGGGCACAGGCCTGGTCGGCCGAGCGTGTAGAGCTGGGATGCTATGCGATCGACGGGTCCGTAATTACACACGAGTACTTCGACCTGATTCCCAAACCCGCCTGGCGCCATCGCGGTCTTGCTCAAGCCGAGCGTGTAAATCGCGCGGCCGCAACCTACGTAAATGAACGTCGCCGATGCGAGGGGAATGTAAGAGGAGAGTTGCCACGCCGTGTTAGAATAGTTCACTAGTCTGAAAGGTACGATTAACTGGACTAAATTAAGGTGGACGGCAGTCAATCTCGGGCCTCAAGCCCTTTCCATTGACGCAACTTGAATTAGAACAGATCTTTTCATAAATTGAGATGCTCTCGTATGATTCAAGAGCATCTCAATTTATGAAAAGATTCGAAAGATTAACTCGCATCTTATAAATTTATCTTGAAAGTTGTGAAATCAAATTATTAAAATTAAATTTTACGAAGAAATATAAAATTAATTGAGATTTTGTTTGAGCATATATGATAATTCTAACACATATTGTCTTAAAAAATGCTGTAAAATTTATATTTGAAAGCTATCTTTTTATTACTAATATTTTTGAATAATCAATATTTTTGTATTTATAAATTTCTTTTATCAATTCTCTTAGCAAACATATTCGGATAAAATTTGGCATAAAAAGTTATAGATATAAAAGTTATAGATATAAAAAAAAGCGATAGAGGTAATACGTTTTTGTACAGCTCTCTTTCGAGCACACTTTACAAGGTTAAAGTTCGAAGTCTGATTGTATCGCATTTTCATGTGTCCTGTAGGAAATTGAAACCTTTTTTTTCTATCAGACCGAAATAATAAAAAAACGACAGAGGCTCGTTTATAGCTGCTGGGGGATCCATGTATACTGGACTATCGAGTAATTTAGACCGGTACAATAGCACTCTCGATTTCCAATTTACCGAGAGAATACGCGATTTTGATTGTTCCCAGCGACAGAAGAAGAACCATCCGCTATTCCTCTATTTTCATCCTCTGTTCCATACAATCGGTCTTCGGTCATTTTCTCCGACGGTCAAGTCGCTTCATTCCTCTCTTCTTCGTCCTCCAATGCCTGTAAACCTCTCGCAGTACCGGCTTTAAATGGTGATCGAAACGAACTGTTGCTCAGAGAGCCAAGAAGAGCAAATAGTATAAGACACGTGGGTGTGCGTTAGCATTAATATAACCCTCTTTGAAATAAATTATTTTTTTTCAAAACTATATACTAATTCTTCAAATTCTTTAGAGAGTGGAATCTCATTCTAAAGAATGAGATCCTTTTTTCAAGACTGGCTGAATTTTCACTTTTTAGAGTTTAAAATTCCTCTCCAAAGAATTTAGAAAAAAATTGCTAACTTCTTGTTCATTTTTTAATAAATATAAACATAAAATTATAAATATGAAATATTTTTACAACTATATTTTACAACTATTTCGGCGATTTATTATATTTATTACAAATTTTATATTCCTCTCGCTATTGAAATAAAATGCTACAAGCAAATATTTTATAAATTCTATTATACGTTCAAGAAATTTTTATATTAAAAATGAAATAAAGATACAGATATAGGTATATTTGAAACTTTATTAGTTTATTCTATTTTTTTTAATTTTATTTGATTCACGAAGGAATGATAAAGACAGAGCGTGAAAATTTTCCATTTGATGGAATCGAGATTTTTAAAATCAGCACTAACTCCCACGAGAGTACTCGCGAGCGAAAGCAGAGACGAGGTTGGTGGATACGTGGAATGAAATAAAGGCTTGCGAAAAGGCGAGAGGGAGACGAAGGAAAGCGAAGAATAGAGTGGTGACTGCAAACCTTCCCCCAAAATTCGGGGGAGCGAGTTAACTGTGTCTACACGCTGCGCCGGGTCGAACATCGACCATTCACAAAGGGATAGTAGAGTCTCTCGGCACAAAGGAATCGTTCCGATCAACTCGACTCGAGCCATTGTACCTTTCTCTCGACAGCATCGCGATTCGTGCACGCGTTACTATCGACCTAGATACACATAAGGGAAGCGTGCATGTGTTCGCGACGATCTTTGACGTGTAATTTGCGTATACAGTATATCCCATAGATAGCCAGTTATTTTCCATTTATGGAGTCTTTGACTATCGTAGAATCAAGTTTTTTTTTAACAATAACGTCCTGATAATTAATTTTTTAATTACAAATGATTAAAAATAGCGCGTTTTTCGGAAACTCAAATGTTTGAACAGATAATGGAAATATTTTTAATTTGATTTTAAATAAATTTTATTTTAATAAAAAATTTAAAAGTTGCCAACGATCAATAAGTGAAAAAGATATTTATTATTAAAAATTGAAAATTTGTGGCGAATAATAAATGATCTTTCAATTCGTCAAAAATTAATTGGTCAGACAATCCATATAAATGACAGATATTTCGCTAGATATGGAACATCCTGTACATTCTATGTATATAACTATGTGCACTTTCGACTTTTACCCGACTTCCGCGTTGTCGAAGTCTTCTACCTCGTCATACCACGATGTAATATGAAAGTGAATTCTTTCCCTACTCGTGCTATTTTTTACGATGTCCATGTTGAGTACATTTACGTTCTGCCACACTCGAAATCGTTCTACAACAATCGATTTGTTTCAGTAATATTTACTTGTATCTGTAGATTAACTTTAATCTCGGTTCGAATTATTATTCTTTTTTTTTTTTAATTCTAAGAGTTAGAAAAAGATGAAGTATAAATTGAACCGAGATTAAAGTTAATTCACATTGGTGAAACATATATAAAAGAGAGTCTGCAAAGTTAGTCACAATTCTATTAATATAAAAAAATAATATCACTTTTTATAGTTTTACAGTTGTTTATAAAAATAATAAAAGAACTCCGCATTTTTTATATTTTAAAAACTCAAAATTGAAAATATTAAAATTATTTAAAAATATATAACCGTCGGAACTCTGTTTATAAATGTTTATAGGGCATAGAATTTTGCAAGAAAATTAACGAGAAATATCGCTGGGGAATTGCGATAAAAATTAATTATTAATGTTATGCTGATAAATTATCAGCATAACATTTTTTTTTCAAACGTGCTAACTTCTATATTTAAAGTATATTAAAAATATAATAACTATTGAAATTTTGTTTTCATGTTACATGTGTTGATAAAACTCGCGTAATACTAATGTGAACTGAAGTCGAAATAGAAATATTTATCTTTATTTGTACTTTAGAAGAAAGGTGTCGTTCTCAATTTCTCGAAATTGGTACTGTATTTTTTTAATTTTGGTTTTTTAATATAAAGAATGCGGAACTTTTTTTTAGGGAATTTTCATAAGGAACTGTAGAATTATTAAAAGAGTGCTACTGGAATTGTCAATATTTTTTTTATATTGATAGAATGTGGTGATATTTTTACAGATCCTATAAAATGTATAATGCATTTTGATCTCGTATAGCGTTTGCTTTTAAATTAATGAATAATTCCTGAAATACACAAGATTATTCACAGTTTTGTCTTATAAAACCCCGAATAAAACTTTTACTCGTTTATCTAATTTCGCAGATATTGAAATATATTATAAGAAATTATTATAAGAAAATATTTGAAGAGTTTCATATTAATTATTTCGAAGATATTTTCGCCAATTGTCGTATTTTTATTCTTATTCTTTTTTTATTTTTATTCTTTTATAAATATACTTTCGCATATTTTTATATCACCGAAATTTATATATCACTGAAATCTATGAGCTCCAAATAAACTTTAAACCAAATCCGCAAGCTGTCGATTAGAGAATCAGAGAATCGGAACTGTGCGGTCTTACATTCTCACAATGCTGTATACACATGCGTTTCAGTGGTTGTATCGGTAGAACAATTTCGCATCTGCATGGGTTATTGGATATTGAAAAATAACGGCACGGCAAAAGGGAGGGATGAAAAATGAGATATATCCGTCGGAGTTACTTGCCAACATCTCGGCACTGATCCTTCTCGAGGAGCTTGCACTGCAGCGCCCATCGACGAGCTATAACGGCAAGTTCGTCGTCCCAGATCTGTCGAAACAAATGACACTTCAGACGTCGTCCACCATCCCCGGGATAAATGATTAAATATCGCGTCGCGCGTGTTCCGTCGATTTTTCTACCAATTCCATCATGGTCCTTGCGGCGGGCTGCGGCCCGGGATTTCCGCGACTCTCCTTGCCGTTCGCAATGACAACGCGATAACGATTATGACTCTCGAGCACCTCCTCGATATCCTCTTCACCGAGGTCGTTGTTCACCATATCGATGCAATCCGCGCTCTCGCAGTCAGACTATACGGATGAATGCCAAATTGTAAACTGAAGATACATTCACGAAAAGAATGGTTTTGCTGAAATATCTAATTTAAGGAGATCTTAAATCTACTCGTCTGTTTTATCGATTATTTTTCAAATAAGTATTTTTCTAACTGCCCTTATATATACAGAAAAAAATCTTTAAAAAAATCTTCTAAAAAATCTTTTTCCAATTAAAGTATAAACGATAGAGCAATCCAAACCGGTTGATTTTATGCCAAAAATGAAAAAAAATTGCAAAATTATAGTTTTTTTATCAGTTTCTGGCATTGACTCATAATTTACTTTATATACAAGTTTTGCACTTTATGAAACAATCTTGATTTAGACTAGGGATTACATGAACAAACAATGTTTAGATTTTATTAGAATTTGGCTTATGCCTATTTCTATATTAATGTAGATGAACTTTAATCTCGGTTCTTCGATTTAATTCTTACACGAAGAGAATTTTTCTTAGAGTTTATCCTGAAAATATGATAATCCTAGGATAATATTGTATTTTGAAGAATTTTATATAAATTTCTCTTATTCATTAATAAAATTATAATAAAATATAATAGGATTGATTAATTTTACTGAAGTGATGATAAAATGATAAAAATCTTTAAAATATTATATTGTATCACAACTACCATATTTTCAGATTAAATTTTAAGAGACAATTCTGTCCATGTAGAATTAGAAAAAGATGAAGAGTTAGTTGAATCAAGATTAAAGTTGAATTATATTGATAAAAACTGACATTAAATACCTAATGTGAAAGATCAGTTAAAAAATTTATACAAATGCATGCAATAATAATTCTTTCTAGCTGAATTTTTACACCAATTTTTATCTTTCTTCCTTTTTTCTTCAGAAGGAAAGAAGAAGAAGAAAGCTAAGCCAAAGTTCAGTCAAAAAGAACAGACCTAATATGTAGCTAGTGACGTGTAAATGACTCATAAATAAGTATTGAATCGATAAAATAAATGACTTTAGGATTCTCTTAAGGACGTTTTCACGTTACTTCCTAGTTAGTAGACATTCATAATAATATGTAAATAATATGTTTATTCATAATAATATATAAAACAATTAAAATAATTGAATAAAAAGATTACTAACAATATCTTATGCCATTATATATAATTATTATTAATTTTATATATTACTAAATATTTTCAAAATGATAAAATAAAAATAAGATGCTCATTTAATGTATATGCATCCATTTGACATATATTCTAGCTTTTTTTATTGAAGAATATAAATTTCTTGTAAACTATATGGTCAGTTTAAATGAAATTTTACGAGAACAAACTTAAATGTTTACTTTATAATTATAATGATTTTTAAATTGCTGCCTTTACACAAGTGTCTCAAATGAAAAGAAAATAACTACAGAATAAGGTTATATCTTCAACTTATAAAATTTTATAAATTTAGAATTAAATATCTTTAAAATGGTATGGTAAAAGTCAATGAAATTTTTTCTAGATATTATTGATATTATTAACATTTGTATTACATGTATATTATAGACTTGTCTTATATTTCATCAAACGCGAGAACCTCCTTAATGTAATAACTATCTAAAATTTTTCTAAATACAGATTTGAAAATAATTTTATTAAATCGGAATAATTTTATAAAGTGCTCAAGCTGATTATAGAATATCAAAAATTTTTGCTTATTACGCTTGACTTCCCTATATTATTTTCAGCTCTGTATTTAGTTAAATTTTTAAATATTTCCTATATAAGTAATTATTTTACAGCATCACTCATTATGCTTGACTTTTCAATAAAATTATTTTCAGATCTGTATCTAACTAAATTTTTAAATATTTCAGCAAAATCGTTCTTTCCGTGTATATTTTTTTTTTTTTGCAGAAAGGCAGCATTCAATTTCGCAATTATGTAAAATAGCGAGTAATAAAAAATTAGGTTAGACATATTGGATTTCGAAAATCTCGGACGTCTGTCAGCATATTTCATCGTGATTGAGTACCGCGCTTATAAAGTTACTATTCTCTGTGGATCAAATGCAGTTTACACATGGATACAATTTATGCACATGGATATTATCTAGTCAAACAATTTTAATAAATATTTACAGGAAATAAGCACATGGTGTGATTGGAGCAAATGCGGCAATAATTTCTATTCTCGCGATCAGTAGTTGTCATCTTTCCTCTCGCTTCGCCGTCACTGTAATGCGTGAGAAAAGATAAGAGGTAAAAGATACGAACTGTCCTCCGGTTAAGCCTCATCGTCGCCAATCCATTCGTGAGATTAGTCACACGCGTCAGCTATAATTACGTACTTCAGTTGCTATCCGCTCAGCGCCCTTAATCGCGATGTCTAATTTTCTTTTCTTTTTTTGCCGCCCTCGCAAACTATCTAACTTCAGATCGCGCGAATCAATTTAGCGACTTTGACAGTTCCGGGATGCCGGATTGGTAAGAAAATTTATCGTGCAACGTGGAACGGAAATCCATATCGCTGCACTGCTATGCAAACTGACTCACCGTGCTGGTTTAGTCGGCCTTGCGCTTGACTCATACAAACGAAAAATGAGACGTAAATCTAAACAATGTATCGCGAGAAGTATTTCAATTATGCATTTATTACGTTCAAGAATTCGCCGCCGCATGTAAAGAAAAGGAAATCGCTGACGGGATGGGCCGTTGATAAATTATCTGGCAGGCAGAATGCCTGGCACTCGGCAGACCGATATTTTTATTTGCCCGCGTGGCACATTGCTTTATATCCAAATTTATTTCCAAATTTATATCCTCTTTTCCTTCTTTCCGCTCTGTTGCGGAATACCGCGGGGTCTATATTTCATTTCGTTTAATTCGGGATCTGATCGATGTAAATACTCGAGCGGCATATTCGAGACTCAAACCTTATTACGCGCGATAAATAATCACATTAACAATATATTACAAAAATAATACTCATAATACATACAACAATAATAATAACACATTTAACACTTGAAATATCGAGCGATTATTATTGATCGTTTTTATTTTTTAAATTGTATAATATTATATTTCTTGTGTAAAAGATAAGATTCTGAAATTTTTTAACTTTCAAGAATTATGAATTTTATGATGAAATATTTGATTTTTTCATTTTCTTTATTTTCATAGTAATTTATTTGCTTGGACTTTTTAGTGAGTAAGAAACTTTTAGTAGGATAATATATAATAATTATATATGATATTTTTACATTACATACATAATTTATAATTGTTATATTATAATATGCTAAAATATCAAGCGATTATTAGGAATAAAAAAGTGCGGACAAAATCAAACATTAAGTCTGTCAAAACGAAAGCAAGGATAAAAGCGATAAGATATATAAATGATTCTTTCATCCGCTTACAAGGTACTGTTTGTGAAACAATTTCGTAACGCAATATTTCCTTTTAAGTGCGATTATAAAGCTCTCGATAGTAATATCACGGTGAATTTCTGGCGTATAGAGGTATATTCGAAATTTGTTTGTTCGACCGTTCCCCCACGAGATATTGTAGCATGTAAACGTGCCTTCGACAAGTTCGTTCCTTCTCTCACGCCGTGCGCGGCACGTGTTTTTGATATCGCAGATAGAGCTGCCTCTCATATCATTATTGTTTCAATACGCGCGAGAGGTAAGAACTTCTCAAGTTCCGTTTGTTCCCGAGACTGCCGAGCATCTTTCCAGCTCCTTTCGTCGCAACAATACATGGAGATTGCAGACAAAACTAGAATATCGTATAGACTGTAAACGTAGTGAATTACAATTGCGAGTAACTAAAAATTTTGAAAATTGATACCCATCACTCGATAAATAATCACATTATATTACAATATATTACAATATATTACAAAAATAATACTCATAACATACAACAATAATAATAACACATTTAACACTTGAAATATCGAGATTATTATTGATCGTTTTTATTTTTTAAATTGTATAATATTATATTTCTTGTGTAAAAGATAAGATTCTGAAATTTTTTAACTTTCAAGAATTATGAATTTTATGATGAATATTTGATTTTTTATCATTTTCTTTATTTTCATATTCGATGTATATTCTTACGCGTTCTACTTTATTTTCTTAAAGTGCATAAAATATGCAACAATTATCGAATAATAAAAGAAATATATATAAAATGTAATACTCTTGTAATATTATGTGGAGAGCAAAAAGGCACAAATTTTCCAAGTTCGGACTGCATGACGTGTTTAACGACACTGTAAATTTGTTTAACGTTTTAACGTAAAATGGTATGCATATGCGGCAACTCAATTTTACAAGGGTTGATTGTTTTGTCAGTAACGCAATTTACATTTACGAGTAATGGTCTGTCAAACATTTTGACTAAAACTGAAAGTGGTACATGAACGATAAAACGCAAAAGAAAATAAAATTAATTTAAGGAATTTAAAGATAATAACATATTGACTTAAAAATAATTTATTTTATACACATTGTATATACAAATAACATTCACGCGTACAGATATGTAGATAAAAAACTCAAATAAATATTTGAAGATATGTCTCCAATGCGTGGAATATATTTTTTATACTATTCTTATGTTTAATGTGAATTAGGCAAAAATTAAATAAAAGTAAGAAATCAATTAATATATATTGCATAGTGAAGAGATTGCTATTATCACACGATATTGCAGCATAGCTAGCTGTTAAACTTTTACTAAATACTTTAGCTGCAAATTGCGTAATTGGCAAATCTTGTAAGAGTAAAAATCTGGAATCTCCTTTAAAGTTGAAAGTATCTTAGGTAGAAGGTATGTTGCTTGCGCTACATAACCGTATCTCTATCTTTGAGAAATTCCTCAGTGGTTCATTTTAATAGATATATACATGTATGAGAAAATTTCTCATCGTGCAACTCCTCTGAAAATTACGTAACGGTGAATTAACATCATTTGG